TGTTTTTTTTATTTCCCAAGATTTATTCTCACTCTTTAATTTCCCAACTTGTGTTATTCCCAGTCCCTGGTTCCCCGCATATTTCCAGGATACATGCCCCTGGGTTCATGTCACTAATTAGATGCGTGCATTTTGAAAAGGAAGATTTTCTTGCCCCCATCTGAATTTAATCCAGCAAATTAAATCAATCATGTGAAAAAGTTATCAATCTGGGCAAATAATTACAGAACAATCTTCTCGTTGAAGCACCCATAAGAGGGGAAAGAGTGGGGAACAAGGACCTTGACAGATTGCTTCCATAATTTACCATGTGACAAGTTGATTTTGCACAAGTTCAATTCACTCCTGCTTTATACCAAGTGGCTCTATCTTGTCCTTGCATCCACGTGGTTGGTTATGAGTCCATGTTGGTGAGTCTCACAGATGGGGATTATAGGTTTTAACAGTACTTCCTCTCACCATGCTAATATTTGAGGATAGATTTTGCCTTTAGTTTTGTGCTCAAAACTTTGATTCTTTTACTAAGAGATTAATGTAACTGAAAGGGTTATCTATAAAGTCTTCTAATCAATAAAAGGCTTGTGAAGTGGAGCCAATGAGGACATTAATTTTTAAATGAAGTGACATTGTTATGATATTTATATCAGGGAGCCTCAAAAGATAAATGAGGTTTAAAAGTTCGATGATTCATTTCTCTCTCTTTTTTTTAAGGTTTTAAAAATCGGACCGAATTACCATCGGGAACCGGCTCTTGGTCCGGTTCGGTTGACCCCTAAAAACTGGTCAGTAAAGAACCGGTTAAACCGGTCAAAAATCGGTAAAACCGGACAAAAACCGGACCGGTTCTCATGAAAAAACTAGATAAAATTTAAAAAAAATAAAAAATAAATTAAAATTAAAATTAAAATACATCTTTCTTGATATTTAAATGAAAAGCTTCACTTGTAATTAATATTAATTATGTATTTATCAATAACAAATTATATTATCAAGAATCTATAATATATTTTTGAAAAAAATGCATATTTAAATGTATTTTTTATTTAACTATGATATATAAATTAAAAATATATTAATTTAATATCAACCGGTTTGACCCCGGTTAGATTACGGTTCGACCTGTGAATCGTGAACCAGTGCCTCGTCCGGTTCAATGACCGGTCCAGTTTTTAAAACCTTGCTTTTTTTTTAATTTATATGTTCATTTAATTTAGTTAGATTTGAGCATTGTTGGCTCAATTATAAATAGCTCTCTCAAATACATTTTTTATATTCACACGAATTTCAACTTGAAACCTCGTGCTTAGGCTATTATAGCCATTTTAATTAGGATAAATACCAGTTAGTGACAGGTTTTTTTCTTTTAATGATCACTATTCACTACACTATTATTTATGAGCAATCCCGTTATATGCTCATTAGATAGAGCTTCCTTCTTCTGCAGATTTAAACACTAATTTTTGTTTAATGCTTGATTGGATCGATCACAGTTAGTTAAATACATACAAGTCTTGCTGGTGGTGTTGAAAGGCAACACCCTCACGGCTTCGCCTTGATCTCTTGAGTTGCGCTTGAAAATAGATGAACGAATCCAAACAAAATAGCCATCTCTGTCAACGACGTCAGAAGAAACAAGTAACCCGGGAAGATAATCGTGAATAGTGGAGATGGAAACGCTTGTCCGAGGGATCAATTAAAGTTGAAAATGGCCTGCCTAGCAATACAATGTTTCCGTGAATAAATAAAATGGCCTCCAGTCATACCCGCTATTATGTTCATTTAACGTAGCTGAAAGAAAGTTGATACGGATGAAGTATCTTTAAACATTTATTGCCATACAATATTTTTACTTAAATTGCTAGCACCTCTGTCAATTTAACTGATGTAGGCCCTCCTTCGTGCTCTTGGAATCTTACTGATATTGGCAAATTTACTGTCAAATCGGCCTATACTACAACTCAACTCAATAATTGGAATTCAACTGACAAGACCTGGTCTAAAGTGTGGAAGCTATTAATGGCTCAAAAGGTTCGTGCTTTTATTTGGTTAATGTTAAAGGATAGACTCCTTACTAATTCAGAACGACACCGAAGAACGATAACCCTGACTCAAGGTTGCTCTTTATGCAATTCTAATGTTGAAAATATCAATCATGCTCTCAGAGATTGCCCTTTTGCTACATCTATTTGGAGAAAAATACTTCGGACCGACATTTGCACTGATTTTTTTGAAAAAGATTTACGATCTTGGTTCATAGAGTGCTTGCATAATTTTCAACTGGATATTTCTTGAAAGATTGGGCTAAGTATTACTTATTGCAAACTTTGAAATACAAGGAACAGATGCATTTTCACTGATGAAGTTTTTATCCCTACAAGTATTCTCTCCCAAATTGATTCTATTGTTAATTACACTTTAAGATGCTTTTTCACTTATACGTGCTTGATGTAATTTTTTGAGTTTTGCTTTAGTATTTCTCTCAGAAATCTTGTACAATTTTTCTCTCATTGCTATTGAATATCTCGTTACACTAAAAAAGAAGAAAGTTGATACGGAGCCGTGCGGTTACCATCATATCATCCTACTATTCTTTAGTCTAGTCTCTCACCAAAGAAAACAAGTTAAAAAAGTTTACCCATCATGCCCACGAGTCAACATTCTCATTCAATGTTCCATTGAAGTTTCACACACACACACACGCACACTTTTTACGAGTCGCCATGAATGAATACACAGTAGTGGGGCAGAGTACCCCAGTGGTACAGTCACGAGTGACGACCGAACTTTGATGGTCGGTCAATGAACGATTGTTATAATTAACTTTTGAAATATCTAAGACATTGTTGGGCGTAAAGTTTGGTGCTTGTGGAAGCATCCTTGCAAATTGCAATAGCCCCCACTAGGCCGGTGTCCTTCGTGTGCTCCAACGAGTGGGTTGATTTGTCTCCATTTGCAGTTTGTCAGACCCACAAAATCTGACACATTTCCGCGTCTATTGTTAGAATTTTTCAAAGGCTGTGTTTCGCAGTAGTGCCCATCAACGCAGTTTCGCGGAAAGCCTTCGGATTCTACTAGGGATGAACCTCAAATTTTCTCATCAGAAGTTTACATATATAATATCTGCGGTGGGAAGTCTCCGAGAAATCGTGTTGAACTGGTCTCAGCGTCAATGCGCGAGTCAAGACAAAGACTTGGACGTCAATAGCATGTCCTGTTATATGTAAGTGAGAAATTCGGGTCTGCCAACATTGTCCGGCGTGAACAGGCATGCCGAAGTACCAAAGGCACGTTTCACCACTATGAGTGCCCCATCCGATGGACTGGAGGGGTCAATCACTGTTCACTGATAGTTAACCAGGTCACATGCTTCGTATTTGCAGTCAGTTGAATTATGTCTCGGAAATTATAACTAGTGAAGCTCCTTGCTCACAAAGTTGCAAATGAGTACTGCCCAGTGTCCAACAATCACAGTGGTGTCCTATCCTGTTAATGACTCTCAGGAATAATTTCACAGTCGTATTTCATTAACCTTGTGATAAGCTTGTAATCACCAAAACTGTCCTAGGCTTTACAGCCCATCATCTCATTAAGATAAGTAAATGCATCCACAGATGCAGAAAGCCTGGTTATCATCTTTATGGACTTTAAGATGGCCTCTTATGGCTGACATATCGTGGACTTTGCTCTTTGGGCCCATCTGGTCACGTACTTGGAAAGCTCTTTGTTTTTTGTTTTGTTTTGTTTTTGGGTACAGAATACAGATAGCTCTTTTCTTAAGGAATTATGAACATCCTTCCTCCTCACCCTACAGCCCTGTTAGCCCTCTAATCCAGAATCAGTTTATCATTCAAATTCTATCCATAATCACTTGTTTAGTCATGCCATCAGGTACACTTTGTAAGAACCAAACTATCAAGGGTGTATTTGGATTAAATTTAGAAACTGAAATTCGGATAATATAGAAGTTTGCAAAATGAAAGTTAGAAGAAAAGTCACATTGAAATATCATTTATGTTTGAATATTTTTTTTGAAAAGTCAGTTTAGTATGATTTATGTTCCGATAATTTTTTCTTAATGATATTTATGTTTTGATAAATAAATAAATAAATACAAAAGCCAAAAGCCAAAAAATTCAGCTTCTTAATTATCTAGCCTCAATTTTGAGCCAAATGCTATTCCCCATCATTTTTATTTAAACAAGATTAAAATGGTCCGACCTTATTAGGATTGAGACCCATTCAAATTGAGGTTTGGCTTTGAAACAAACAATGACAATTTTTTTATATTGAAATTTATATATATCCTTATAATTATAATCATATAGAGTATCAAGTTTAAACTTTTCACTGTTCATTGGTTTCATGTTTCCCATTATCTTTATGTCCTAATTCAACTTCAATGAATTTTTTACGTTTTCTGATTGCATGTAACTTTACGAGTTGTTTCAATAGGATGTATTTCTTGTCCTTTAAATGAGACGTGGACCATTCATCTTTAATCTGGACATCTCACATAGTTATTTTTTTAGAAAAATAAAATTAAAACTTCCATTTTTTTTTGAGGAAAAAAAAAAGCAACTAAGATATTATATTATAGATGATCTTAATCTAAAAATGAGCATTGGATCTACTCTCTTATTTCAATCTCTACCCAAAATGAACTGCTAGAGCATGTACGGTGGATGCAAACAATCGTGCCAGTGTGTCACTGCCATCCATACTTTTCGTCTTTAATCACGTCTCAAGAGATTAATATCAATCTACTGAAAAGAAACCTCAATTAAGAATATGATTAAAATAATCATGCCAGTATGTCACTGCCAGCCCTACTTTTCTTCTTTAATCACGTCTCAAGAGATTGATATCAATCTACGGAAAAGAAACCTCAATTAAGAATATGATTAACATTTGCACCAACACAAGTATACGCGCCTGTAATATCGCATTGCTTTATTATAATCCATACCACTTTCTTCACACAGTAACTTTGACCTGGCAAATTCTAGAATATGAATTGGCATTAATTAATTAAAAAACAAAGCAAGCTGGGGCAAAAACCCAGAAATCCCTCCACTAAAGTGAGACCTCGTGCTTCAGCAGTGATGCTGTTAGTAACCCTAGAAACAAACTTTCGGTGGCCCCTATACGCAAATCACGCGGACTCTTCCCCCAAAGTTTCAAACAACATTCATCAAAAGGTTCAAACATCTTTTCAGATGATCGAAAAAAGAGAGATCCAAATTCATACATGGACACCCATTTTTCAACCCAAACCCCACTAGGATTATAACTACACCGTCTGCTCTCTAGCTGTTCAGAACCTTAGCACATGATAGTCTTGGGTCTCTCACTCACTGATTTTTATTTCAAGTGTAGCCTTGCCTGTATTTGCTAAAGATCTCATCAGTTTTGGCATTCCTGAAGGCGCAACATCCTATCAGATAAGTTAGGATTAAGACAATGGCAGTGATGATCAAAACGACATTGGCCCTCTTCCACTCCTTCCTGAGATTTGCCAGTAACCCGGCTTTGCAAGAGTCACAGTTGTAGCAGACTTGGGTCTGGTCGTTGCTCCATTGAAGGCAGTCCATATCAGCCGCGGTATTTATGGGGCTTATCCAGTACGTTGGATTCACGAACGTGTACCCACATTGTGTTGGTGGCTTACAGCATCCTGACTACAACACATGAACAACAATTTAACAGACTCGGATTCAGATCATTCCTTTCTTTTCATCTTCAGGCTAGTCTTGCAGCAACTGGGAATTATTTTCAAAATGAAATCTGATATGTTATCAAGATTGTATCTTTATTGAGATTGCACAGAAAAGAATATATTTTGGAGCCGAATCTAAGGACAGTGATCGGGTGTTAACTAAAAGAAAAGCATAATGCAAAAAGTAATGTGTGGAAAAGATGAATCTCGGACAAGAGAAAAGATAAAAAAAAGCAGGCTTTATAACTCAAGGCTGAAGAATCTTCAGAGATTAATTTTGAGCTGATCTAATCTTTTCTGGGATGAATAGCTAAGAGTAAGTGAAGAAGAAACTAGCCTAAAAGACACATTGTAATAACTGGTGAAACCATATAAAATCATGTTCTTGCAGATTAAAACGAAAGAATAATGTAGGTTACCTGCATGGGTGTTAGATGTGCATTAAAGAAATCCTGAGCCATGCGGTAACTCTGGTTCAACTCATTGCACATGTTGGTGGAGCTAAGGCAGCTTCTGATGCTGTCCCATTTATAGGAACTTCTGACACGGCGGCGGAGCCAGCCGGAGAAGTTATCCAGATGGTATTCCAAGTAAGCTCGGTTGGGTTCAATGTCGCCGTGGCCTCTGAGCGTGACCATGTAGATGAACACCGCCAAGCACACCAGCAGTATGATGAGCACGAGCATGGCCACCATGTAGACTATGAGTAGCCATTGGATTCTCCAGAACCCTCCGATGAAGCCAGCTAGAGCCACCACCAGTATCAGAACCCCAAGTATAATGACCGGCCACTGTAGAGTCTTCACGCACGCATTTGCGGGTTCGTTCATTAGCCAGATTCCGGTGCCAATGATTGGAATCGCGAGTAGTATGGAGATGAAGTTGATGGCTCCTATCGCTTGGTTGCTCAGTGCCATCTTGAGAGAACTGGAGAGCGAACTTGATGGGTTTGGTTACCCTATCTTCTTCAGATACAAAAAAGATGGTATTGTGTCTTGAAATGTCCGAAGACAAGAGTGCCCCACAAATATTTGTTCCTTTCTTTGGATCCCTACTGATAGCTACTGATTAAAGCAATTTTGCAAGTAGAGATAATTTTAATATAAGGGGTTTTGATTTTTGGGGCACGTTCACATTCACCTTGACATTTTGAAAAACCCTGGCTTGAAAGGACTGTGCTACGCTGGAAGAGAGGAGGGAAAGATCTGGTGGAGATTTGATGAGTTGGATGAGCCAGCAATGGACAAAAATCAAAGAAAGCATTGATGAGTTCTGATGGCTTTGCAGAATCAAGCTTGACTTATTTTCACACAGCCCCCCACTGGCTTAGGCAGGTGGAGCACTTAAGGGAAAAAAATTAGGGTGCAAGAGAACAAATTCATTCAAATTAAATATCCCAATTTCAGAGTAGGAAGAAAGTGTTTTGTTCCTTGAATGATGAATGGTAATAAATTTAATAACTATATAGAGATTTATCAATTTAATTTTCAATTTTATAATTTTATTATAAATTATTTGTAATTTATTTTTTAAATTTTAATAAGAAATATAAATGTTTATATTTAATAATTAAATATATACACAATATCAAGAAAGTAAGGTTTTTTTGTAAATTCTTAAAGTTGTTAAATTTAATATTTTTTAACATTAAAGATGAACATTTGTGTGTTCTATTAAAATTTAAAAAATAAGTTACTAATATATCACAATGTACGGAAAGAAGTTGTAAAATTGAAATTGAAATCATAAATTTTTAAAGTTATTAGATTTAATACTTTTTAAAATTAAAGATGAATATTTATCTTTCTTATTAAAATTTTAAAAACAAGTTACAATAGGTCATGATAAATTAAAGTTGCAAAATTGAGAGTTGCATTTTCAAATTCTTGAAATTATTAGATTTAAGTACTTTTCTACATTAAATATTAACATTTGTGTTCTTTGTTAAAATTTTAAAAAAATTGTATATGCATTACAATAAAATTGTAAATTTTTGAGAGCTAAACTTACAAATATTTGTAGTTTTTTATTATCACTCACAGAGGGATTTTGTTGGCATTAAAAGTAGTTGAGACTTAATTTAAATTAATTAATTCTTTAAATACTTAACTGTCATTCTCCCAATAAAATTGTCGATTGTAAGTACTCCCTCCATTAAAAAATATGAAGCATTTTTAATTAAATCTCACCTCAATAAAGTAATTATTTATTTTTAAACTAATTCTATTTTTTTATATTTATCTCTATTAAACACCCTATAATAAATATAAAGTTACTATCAATAGGAGCACTTTAAAAAAAAAAGATAATAATTACACTCGAAAGATTAAAAATGCCTTACATTTTTTAATATTTAATTTCTTAAAAAAATATTTTATATTTTTTAACGAAGGTGTATTAAATATAAAATTTATTTTTACACTCATTCACACACTTTCACACGGACACACTTCCCTTTTGGGCAATTTGGGTGGTGGTGGTGATTCTGATCTATACCACATTATATATAAACAGATCAGGACAATTTTTTTGTTATACTTTTTAGCCCATCTAATTTTGTTTAAAAAATTTTAAATGGATGTTATCTATCTTTATACCGTGTGAAATTGTACTAAAATCTATCTATTTTGTTTGTCACCCAAAAAATTATTATCTATTTCTATATCTGAAACTAGTCAAATGGTGAGAATGATAATGATGAGATAAGAAGGGGCCGGGTAAAGGCTGAGATTCAAAACACACAATAACAAAGCCTGGTTCATCTTTTTTATATTGAGAAAGATTTAATGAATTATGTTTTCTTAAAAAAAATAGAACACAATTTAGCCATAACTATTTTTGCCTTGTTTTTTTTTTTTTGGTCATGGTTAACCATTTAATCTGGGTCAATGACTCCTACATTTTTTTCAAGAGAGAGAGGTTATGAATTCTATATCCCCTTATCATGAAAGGAGTAGGAATGTGTGAGTGTAGGAATGTGTGAGTGTATAAGAAAAATGATTGCCTGATTGGTACTATATAGTTGTGCAAGAGTATTTGTATTTGATACATTAAAAAATACTATTTAATGTTACATTCTGTTTTCTCTTTTTTTATTTTAATGTTTTGATTTCCGGCTAAAAAAATTGTTTTGATTTTATTTATATTATAGTCTAATAGGCAGTCCATTAATATTTATTACGATCAAATATTTGCATACATTTATTAAAAGTTTATATTTATATTTTAAAATAAAAGAATTACTTTGAAGGACCAGATTTACAAATTAATTGTAAACAAGGATTTCAAATTTATGGACTCAAATTTATCCGTCCAAATGCAAGTATTTATCATTCATATAGCACAAATTTACAGTTAAAAAGATGTTTATCATTATTTGGTACTACTCAAACCCAACAGGATTTACCACTAATCCTTATGAATAAATAATTTACAAATTTGGTTATTAGTGATAATTTTCCATGCAAGATTTGACTAATTTCAAATTTTTTTCCACTCAATCTTGGAGTTGGAAGACGTTCACTTTGGATACATTCGCCGCAACGCAAAGAGGACGCCATTGAAAGTCTTTTTTCATTTTTGGTCGGACGTTGAATCCTCACATAGGGGACACACAAATATCCAACCCAAGCGTTATCCGCTTTCTTCGTCCTTGTTCCTGTCATCAATGGCCACTTTAGAATCTGGACTCACAGTCTTGGGGTCTTTCCGCTGTTCTAATAAGCACTCTTCATCTGCCAAACCCTTCGATTGGATAAAGCTCAACGTCTCCACTTCTCTTTTTCCCATTTCCTACAGCTGCGCCGTCCCTTCAATTTTATCGTCCATCGACTCCAGCCCAAGGCACTGCTTCGAATTATGCTCTGCGCTGAAAGAGGCGGCAACAGAAGAAAAACCTCAGCAAACCCAGGAAACCAACATAAAAAAGAAGCTCTGCGTGTTTAATCTACCATGGTCACTATCTGCCGTGGACATCAAGAACCTCTTTGGTCAATGCGGAACTGTAACCGACGTCGAGGTTTTTCAATTTCTCATCTCGAGACTCTATTTGGGATTCTTTTCCCCCGTCCCTCCTAATTTCTGTAATCTCGAAGGTTGAAGTTTTACTTTTTAACTGAAGTAGATTATAAGAAGCAAAGATGGGAAGAGCAGAGGATTTGCCTTCATCACTATGGCTTCCGGGGAAGAGGCTGAGGCTGCTATTGATAAATTTGACTCTCATGTGAGTTCCTTCTGTGTGGTTTTAGTTCAATGTGAATCTTCTGTGTGGTCTGAGAACACTATTCCTTATACATAGCACTGATATGTCAAAAAGCGCTTTTCATTCTGATTCAGGTATTGATGTGTTTTCTAAATGTGTCTTTCATTGTTTTTCATTTTCTCAAAGACGGTTCTGTGTTACGATATAATACTCAGACGAGTGTTTGCTGAATCGGACTTCAAGTAATTTGGGGTTTAGAACATGAATGTCTCTCAGTACTATTTTAATTCTCTTTTCTTTGAAAAAAGTAGAAATACTTTGCTAGGAAATCCCTGTTACTAGTCGCAAATATCATGGACAATTTAGTTAGAAATCAATGACCAGATTACTCTATTCATGCTTGATCATCATATAATTATAAGCCCAACGTCCTCTGGTCAGCAATGAAGAACCTCAAATCTCGTCTAGTAGGAATCAGGAGACGGCTGAATCTTATCACTTTTGACCTGTTCAAACTCTGAATTTAGATTAAACACAGCATGTAGCTGCGATGCAGCATGCCATATAGAATCTTATCTTAATCACTTGCTCTCCACATTGAGCCAAGGCATGCCCAGCTTCTCTTACTCTTCAAAACTGTTGATCAGGGGGAAGAACATTCTTACTATACCTCTTATGTTTATCTTTTTTTTACGTTTATTAAATGGGTTGGTGGGTAACAACGCTTTCAAACTAACCAGTCGTGCCCTTAAGGCTTCACGGGAAAGCAAGTTTGAGGTAAAGAGCCATTATATGCCTGGAAAGAATTATGCTGTATTTGGATTTATCAGTTACTGCCAACTCCACTGCCACACTTTAGGGATCGGTTCATAAGTATAAATTTACTAGTCAGGTTAGGCGGTATGTGACTAAATTTTCTCCTCAGTTTGCAGAGCATTTTACTTGAGTACGTCGTTTTCCTTGTTGTGATCCTTCGTCTTCGCTTTGCATGCTCTGGTACTTAAATATATGGAATTGAGTTATTCAAGATTCAGTTGAAATCGGTATTCAAAAACTTGTATTTTAGTGGTTGGGACTTTGCAAAATAGCATCAAAGAGCTGGAGTTTGAGCCATCAAAATAGTGTCAAATGATATGAAGTTCTGTTATTTTGAAGAGACATGAAATAAGATGTCTTTCACTTGCATTACCTTTGAACGACTTTAGCCTGTGTTTTGTCATGGAAATGCACACACTTTTAATGTAATAGCAAGATTGTCTACTGGCACTTTGCAAAATAAGGTGGCTTGTCTTCCTTAAGATAACATGAAGCTCTGCTGTTTTGAAGAGACATGTAGTAAGATCCCTTCCACTTGCATTACCGCCAAACGACTATAGCCAATGTTTTGCCCTTTGCAAAGTATTTTGGAATAACAGAGGAAGGATAGAACTGGTTTTGACCATGCTTGCTTAGTTCAGTTCTTTTCTTTTCTTTTTTTCTTTTCTTTTTTTTGGTGATAAGTTGGAAAATAAAACAAGCAAGGAACACGAAACAGAAAAAGAAAATCAAGTTAATGACTTTGATCAAATAATGTCAAAATTCTCAGGGTGATACTTTCACATATATTAAATGATGTCAAAGTTGAATGACTTAGAAAAATTTAGGGGAAAAAAAAAGTAATTTGAATATCTGATCTAAAATCTGTCTGGCAACACTTCTCTTGACTCAGAATCCTGCAATATAGGAATTGTCTGGCAGGATAATAAGGGTAGAGCTTGCAAAGAGATTCAAGAAACCTCCTCCTCCAGCTCCTCCTAAAAGCCTCCCTCCTGGTGAAACAAGCCATAAAATTTATGCGTCCAATCTTGCATGGAAAGCAAGATCTAGTCATCTCAGAGCATTCTTCACAGAGAATTTCAAATCACCGGTTTCGGCCAGGGTTGTCTTTGACAGCCCTAATGGAAGATCTGCTGGGTATGGATTTGTTTCTTTTGCTACTAGGGATGAAGCAGAGGCGGCCATTTCTTCTCTGGATGGGAAGGTAATTATCATCTTGTAGATGGTCGTTATCCTTGTGATTTTGTTCTAAAGAAAGAAATAATTCATTCTTATTCTTATTTTTAAGGTACCTTAGAAAAAAGTTCCATCCATATATAATGAGTTAATGACTCTAAATGTCATTTTGGATAGATTTGAGTTCTTCTGAGCGTTGGTTTTGATGTTCAACGAAGATGACTTTTCCTTGAGCTATGCCTTGCAGGAATTAATGGGACGACCACTGCGCCTAAAATTCAGTGAAAGGACCGTTACAGATTCTGGGGATGAGAAAGTGGAAGAGCTAGGTTCTGATGATGAACCGGCAGAACCAGGGAAAGCGGAAGGTCAAGGTTCTAATGATGAACCGACAGAATCATAGGTTTTTCATTTCATTATCTCTGACCATGCTCTGTGGATTTCGGTGAAGGATCTGGAATTTGACCTCAAACCCAAACACTTGTATACACAATTACGATAATTTAGTTCTACATCTATTGACACCATCCATCACTAAAATCACCAGTTTTTAGAGCTGCCTTCTGTGTAAATTGAGACAATTTTTGATAACCCATGTCTATGAAGCATGGATCTGATAGTTGTTTTGCTGTGAAACCTGTTCATTGTGATCATGTATGCTATATAACCAGTGCAGAATCTTTTATAAGAATGATACTCACCCAACTGGCCAACTGTGAATCTTTCAAGTAAAAATAACTAATTATATGTGGTTGCACATACACATGTCAAACCTAGAAAATTTAAAAAATAATTTATCATTTTTAGTCTGTACTGAGATGGGACAAAAGGTACTGTAAAGACACGAGGGACTCGAATGACCTAAAGTTCTAATGGATTTTATGCATATGGTCACGTAGCCCAGAAGAAATATTCTTTATCTTAACCAAAAAAAATTATAATGAATTACTCATAATGACATGGAACGCAGCAGATCTGTCAAAGTAGGTCAAACCCATAAATTTGACAGATTTGGTTTTTTTATCATTTCTTATGAAAATGTGCTCTCCTCTTTTTCAAAAAACAAAAAAACAAAAGAAAAGAAAAGAAAGCAGAAAGAAAGAAACACTAGGTTGGAATATATGCTTCTTCATGTAACCGTACAAAACAATCCACCTATGCCACCACTTAAAAGTGTGGGACAATTTGTCGGCGAAGCGTGGAAAGATGAAACGCATCAAAGGAAGAGAAAGACAAGAAGCAGCTCTTAATGATAAATGGTCATATTAACAGCTTCAGCCATTCCCAGCCATTAACATTGTTTCAGTCATTATCTCCACGCACACAACACTCTGCTCCTATACTGATCCGTGTCAAACAATTTGGATTGCTACTTAAACAAGTTGCGCCATACCATAGTTTTGGGTCAGCACAAATTAATATCTTTGTCAAACCCATACCACATGTAGTTTGGTTTGAGCAAGTGAGAATTAATGAAGACTAAAAGACGTCTCTTGAATTGACAGCGAACTACTTTAAATTTAAAAAACACTCTTATCCAGCTTTAGCTTTATTCCCTTTAAGAGTCAATTTCATGATTACTGTTTAGCCAAGTATTAGCATTATAAATTAAGCTATCTTGTAGTTGAAGTTGTGGATTCCGTGAAAGTTTAGGATTTTAATTGAGAAGATTATGGCTCTTTATTATCCCGGAATATCAGTTAATTAATTTAATCAAAGAAAAAATGGAGGTTTCTATGTATTTAGCAACAAGTTAATCCAAGTTGTAGGAAGATGGATACTTAATTAGATTCCTGGAGATGAAGAATATATGCAAAGTAGGATATGATGCACGGAGAAGAGTAAGAGACAAATAAATAAAGCATCATATCTTTGTTGAATTGCATATATCCCAAAGATTCCTTCCCATACTATTCTTTCTTCCTATTTTACAGAACGGGTTTATCTGTTCACTCTCATATGCATGCATGTATGTATGTATTCACCTCCCCACATGGCAAATGTTTCAAAGTTGACTTTGAAATCAGAACAAAAACATAAGTTAGGCCATATGTTTGAGATAATGACTGGTTTAATGGTTGTCATACAAACTAGCATGGTGTAGGCATATTCGATGTTATAAATTAAATAGATTAACTCTTTTTAAAAAATGTGGAATATTATCTTTTGATGAATTCATTTTTTTTTTTAAATACGTAGTTTACAATATTCTGGAAATAGTAGATTGTGTCAAGATATATTCATAAATTCATTCACATATAATTGCAAGTCCTAATTACTACATAACTGTCTGTTTCAACAAACTTGACGGCTCAAGTGGCTCCACACATTAATAGCCTTGCATGGAAGTACAATGACTTTTTGAATTATAATTATTTCGAATTTTCGGAAAATAAATTAAACATTGCACTTCCGCCATGAAAATCTAGGATTTGAATCTGCAAGTAATTACTACAACCAAACGTCTTTAAAAGGAAAAGAGGAGTAAATGAATAGAAAGGAACTAGCAAATCCCTTTTATTCAAATTGTGAAAACAAGGCCAAACGCACTATCTTGCACTTTGTTGAAATCAATTGTAAATGGGGAGAGGGGGAGAGAGAGGGGACAAGAAGGAAAAATTAGACAGAAAAAGCATTGATTACTTTAATAAATTCCCAACAAATATGAACACTGTTTCGTCAAGAGACCAAGAAGCGAGGAAGCCCCGCACTGCACTTCACAACAGCGAAGAAAAAGAAAAAGAAAAAGAAGAGTTAAAGCGTGCCAATCGGTCCTCCAGTTTTCGTCGCCTTTCCTTCGTTTTCCTTTGGCTCCTTTCCCACGCCATCTTTTCTTTTCCCTGAAACTCATCTTCTCCCAACTCTCTTTCTCTCTCTGATTCTAATCGTTGGGCTATAAGATCACCAATTTTGTACTTCATGTTTGCTAACCAGGAAGATGAAAAGACTCCAGGATTAGAACCCAAGTTCTGATTTTCCGTTTCCATGGCTGTGCTTGGCAACCCAAAAACTTGGATTCCCTACGTCAACATCAGAGATTGCTCCCAAGGTTTTTGCAGTGCCTACTGTCCACAGTGGTGTTACATAGTGCTTCCTCCACCTCCTCCTCCTGCACTCGATTTCCCTCAAGATGACAATTCGTCCCCAAATTTCTCTCCGCTCGTCATAGCCATAATTGGGATCTTGGCCAGTGCTTTCCTTCTGATAAGTTATTACACTTTCATTTCCAAGTACTGTGGAAACAGAGGATCTTCAGACACAGAAAATCTTCATCCAAGTGATGAGATTGAAGATAATCACAACCCTTCGTTGCACGAGCCGTGGCATGTCCAGACCAATGGGTTAGATGAGGCTCTGATAAAGTCCATCACAGTGTGTAAGTACAAGAGAGGAGATGGGTTGGTTGGAGTCACAGATTGCTCTGTTTGTCTCAGTGAGTTTCGAGAAGATGAACAAGTCAAACTGTTGCCTAAATGCAGCCACGCTTTTCACCTTCCGTGTATTGACGAGTGGCTCAAATCTCACCCTAATTGCCCTCTCTGTCGTGCTCTTATATTCACCTTCAACGCCCCGGCCCCTCAAGTGATTCCACCTGTGACACAAGAATCTTCCTCGGGAAACGAATCTTCGAGGGAAATTCAGAGTGCCAGTGATGAAATCAGAGGGTTTGGAAGAAGAAACGTTGAAACAGTTGGGGATGTCGAAGAAGGAGGTCCGAAGCCTGCGTTGCGTGCTTTTAGCGATCTGGGTTTTCTAGGAGGGAGGCATAGAATGATTGAGATGATTAGAGATGAAGGGGATGGAGACGATGAAGCCATAAGAAGGTCGGTGTCGATGGATCATCAAGCGCTTCAAATTGGAGGATCAAACGAAGCAGGACCTTCAAAGAGATCACAAGGAGAGAGTAGCAAGTCTAGCAGCAGCAGAAGGGTTCTGCATTGTGTTTTGAGTCCAATCACAATGAAGAGATCGTTTTCCAGTGGAAGATTCTCGTTTCGCAGAAATGGCAGAGCAAGGCAGGGGATTATCCCTGTCTGAGAAATCCCCTGATCTTTTTTCAGGGAAGGAGGAAAAAAAAAAAAAAACCTCTCTGCTTGTATGATGTTAAGATGACAATGTGTAAGTAAAGAGTAATTACCATAGTAATTAGTGAGTGTGAGATCAGAAGTATGTGGAAAAACCAGTGTTTGTGTGCGCAATTGTTTTGTCGAATGGACATATTTTTCCCGTAATGAAAAGGGTATACGTTTTGGTGAAGATCACAATGAATGTCTCTGTTTCTCTTCCTTGTGGGGATAAAAATTTCAAGGCATTTCAGATATCTTTGCCATAACTGGAGCTCTTGTCGTTCCATTCTCTGGATCATAGTATCATAATATCATCCGCACTGCACATCTTCAAAGATACTCCCTGATTAAAATATAAGTATTTTTTAACAATAATCTCCATGTTAATGAAATTTTTTCATAAAAATATATATTATTTTTTTATTTTGTTTTTAATTTATGATAAGAGAGAAAAATATCATAAATTCATAAACACAAAAATCTAGATTAATAAATATAAGGAATAAAATGATATTTTTTTATAACTATTAAGTTACTTATATTTTAAATTTTATTGATTAGATGGGGAAAATACTTATATTTTAAATCAAAGTGAGTAAATCATACTCCCTCCAGATCACAATATAAGTTATATTCAATTAATTTATGATTTATGAATAATATTAGTTGAGATTTTAAATTCTTAAAAATTTACACATGTTTTCATTTATACTCTCATTAAATATTATTTATTAAAATCTTGTTAATAATAATTAAAATTCAATGCATGATTTTTTTTAAAAAAAAATATTTTATATTTTTGATCAAGTAAGTTTTTAAAAGATACTTTATACTATAATTTAGAAAAAGTAGAAGCTCTTAGGTGTTTGATTCTCTTTCTCTCTCTTATATCTAAATAGATACACTTTCACCATCAATTCTTAAAAATTCAACTTTTGAAAAATAGAGTTATCCTCTCAATTTTAATTTACAAGATAATTTTAAATAAAATTATATGCTAATAAAATTTATTAAATACACTTTATAATTTTATTTTTTTAAATAAATATATAAACTTTTAAAAATATCAATTATTTAATATTATATTTATGAAAGAATATTAAAAAGAGAATATATAGGATATGTAATATTAAAAAAATATCATTAATAAAATTTTAGGCCCATTTAAATTTTAGTTGGGTATAATTGATAATAAAAATTTAATTAATATAATTAATTTTAATTATAATTGATTATATTGTAATATGATTATATTTGGATACTGTTTGTCTGAAATTAATTTTGATAAAATTAAAGATATTTGGATAATGTTAATCAAAATCAATTTTAAGTATGAAAATTACCATAAATGACATTATTTTTTAAAATAAAAATATAGATAAATTTGTAAGTAGTATTATTAAATTTGTTGAACTCTATTTAACAAATAAATTATGTATAATTGCAATCAATTTAATATTTATATAATTATTTAAATTTAAAATATAATTATACATTGATTAATCAGAAATTTAAATTATATTATATTATAATATTTATAATATATTTGTTAAGGGGAGGAGATGGTTGGAACACCCACCAGATACCGCGCACACGCATAGGAGAGAGGAAATATTACGTGTGAGAAGGGTATATGTGGCAGGTGAAAATTCTACACCCATGGGATGCAAGAAACAGTAATAATTAAAATTGATAAGCGTCTCCTCGCATGTTCAACCGGAACGGAGTTTTGGGTGCAAGCAGCACAATCGATTTCTTCCAAAAAAAAAAAAAAAGCCAAAAAGCACTAAGATTAGATAAAAATCTAGAGATCAAGCTAGGCCTAGAATCCAAGCATTCAATTTGAGAAATTTACAATCTACGGTTGAAAAGCAACCTAAACTAAATAAGAAAATGTGAACATAGTTGAAAAGAGCATACTAAATGGAATTTGTTCAACAAAGTTGAAAAGCAACCTAAACTAAATAAGAAAGTGTGAATTTGACAGTTTTTAGTGTATGAAAGAGCATAAACTCCCTCGACTCTAAGAGGGAGTGACTTGAATTTATTCTCCAAAATGGAAAAAAAGCAAACTAAATTATGTGTCCTCAATCAATGAAAACCACTATGGTCGTTAAATAATTAAAGATTAGACCTTGTCAAAATATATAATTTTTGAATAATTAAACAAAACTAGAATATGGGCCTGTTTTGCACATAATTTGATAATTATATTATTTATGACTTATAAATAGTAATACAATTTTGTATAAAGTTTAATCAAAAAATGCCTTTTAAAAATAGTAAATTCTTATTCTTACATGAAGCTCCACATAAATTTTAGAGTTAAGATTCAATTTTATCCCTATACTTATTTTTTAAGAGTATTGGGTACCCTATACTCTTAAGTGAAGCAATTTTATTTCTAAATTATTTTTTCGATGAGCAAAAAACCCCTTCTATTAGTCAACCTCTAATTTTTTCTTTTTGTACTGATGTGGCATGTGCGTATAGCCCACATAAAATAACATGTAAGATTTTGAACCATATCTTTAATGTTAATTTGATCCTAAACTCTTTTTTAAGAATACTGAGCACCCTAAATTCTTTTTCTTGGAGTGTTAAATACTCTGAAATCTTGTTAAAATAAAATTTAATAAATATTATCAAAATATTAAGTATTTTAATATTTAATAATTTAAATATTATTATTTAAAACATTACGCCACCTAATTTAGTATTTTTTATATCTGAAATTTTGTATTAAAAACAAAGGCAATGAATCTCCAAATTAATGAAGGAATTTTTTCTTCTCATTTCTCTATTTCTTTCTTGTTAAGTAATTTCTTTTGTAACACATTAATAAAATAAAAAATATTTTTTAAATAAATATTTTTGTTGGCATATTGTTGATCTTGATTTGTCTTGTTTTTTATTTTACTCCAAATACTGTAACATACAGAAAGTATTAAATTTGAGTAGTGCAATATTTTAAAAGAAGATTGTTAGTTGACAAAAAAATTATAAAAATGACCTAAAAATTTATAGAACTTAACCAATAGTAAAAATATAAATAAGCTTTTACGCTCACAAATGATGTAATAATTTGAGCATTGTTTTGAAAAGAAGATCGAAGATCAATATATATATTGATATAAAAAGAAGTCATTTATAAATATATAAAATGCTAGTTTAGGTTGTTAATATTTAAAAAGTAATTTATAAATTTTAAATAAATATTTATAAATAATAATATTTAAATTATTAAGTATGAAACCATTTAATATTTTAATAATATTTATTAACTTGTATTTTAATAAAACTTTAAGGTATTCAATGTTCCTGAAAAAAACTTTAGAATGTCTAACAATCTTGAAAAAAGTTTAAAAATAAATTAACACCAAATGATATTATTAAAATCTTACGTATGTGGACATTAAGCATATGTCATGTTAGCAGAAAATAATAAAGTTAATGGCTTCATAATAAAAGGTTATTTTTAGACCTCCAAAAAATTATTTTATAAAAAATTATCCTACTTAAGAGTATAGAATGTTTAATATTTTAAAAAATAAGTACAAAAATAAATTAAATATTAACCCTAAATTTTATTACCATTCGCGAATAATGTGACTTCTTATGCTCATGATATCTTATATTCATGAAAAGAAAAACTTTTAAAAATATAAAAAAAGCTTTTAAGAACTAATTATGTTGAATTGGATGACGAAACGTGTGAAAGCAGTGAAGATTGGGATGAAATGAGCGGGGAAATGTGACGAGTGAAATGGGGTATGGTACGGCACTGAGCCCCTCGCAATATGGTCCCTTTCGGCTTAGCCCTTCGTAATTGCGTCTCCTCAAAATCATTCAACAACATTTGTTAGCCATGTTGAAGCTTGAGATTCTGCCCTTGTCCTCAAAACCTTCTTCATATATAATAATAATAATAATAATAATAATAAATAAAAAAGCACCTCATTTTCAAAAATTGACGCCTGAAAAAGCATCACACTATCCAATCATCATTTGAACTTGGCATTCAGTGATCAGTGTTCACATTTGCCTGACTTTGGTGGGTTTTTCTTTAAATTCTGTCCGCGCCCTTTTATATCTGGGCCCATAATCAGGAGCTCTCTTCAATTTTTTTTTTAATTTGTTGTAAATTATTCTTTATCATAGAATGTAAGGAGGATGAAAAAAGTAGAGGCAGAAAAGTTGAGCCTCGTAATTCTTTTTTAGTATGATTATTTTATTGGATTAAATTTAAAGATTGATAAGTTTAATTAAGGATAAATTTTTAAAAATTTTTTATATACACAGAAACTTAAACCTAAAAGTTCACGCTTCACTAAGACCAATGCTTGTTATTTGAGCCTCATAATTCTATGTGGGAGCTTGGGGATGTAATACAACATGCAAAAGTGAAATCATGTTAATCAGAAGTAGAATCCTAAAAGATAAAAGAGACTTAACAAAGAAAGAAATGAAAAATAGGAAAGAAGAACAAGATGAAGAAAATGAAGTTAAGGAAAAAGAAAAGGATAGAGATCAAAGAAAAAATCTTCTAGAACACTTACTTCTAATAATTTTAATCTTCAAAAGTATCACAAAAGTTGATCAAGCTCTTGATTGTATCTATATTCACCACGTCCGTATTCATCACAAGATGCCAACACAAGTATTAATGCTTGCAAGAGTTATAAATTTTAATAATAAAAATAATTTTATTACTCAACAGGTCTTATGTTGCAATGGAAGAATGAAACCCTAATTAAAAACATAAATTTAAAAATATAAACAAATATTTAGCTAATTAATTTAAGAATTATATTTCTTTAAATTATGAGATTACAATAACTAAATTACTTCCTAAAATATTGAAAGTAATTTGATTAGGATAAAATCTGAAACTAAATGTAAGACTCAGTTTTCCTAATTAATGCTTAACACAAAAGGAAACTAATCAAAAAAAATAGGAAACTATGTTGTCTTGGAAATCAAGCTTAATAAGAATTGGAAGCTAAGATCAACGAAAGTTAAGATCCTAATTAATGTGGAAGATAATGGAGAGCATGCCATTCGCTCTTCAAATCAACTATTAAAAAACGTGCTCCTCGTGCTCCCTCCAAGGATCATGCTTGTCATGTGATATTTTAAGTGAATTTTTCAACATGGAGTCCGCATAGGCCTTGTACATCATCTTGTTAG